TTCATTTATTTATTGAACTTCTTTTCACTCGTAGTGATTTCATAAACTTTTTACTCGTAGTTATTTAAAATGAAAAATACAAAATTTTCACTACTATGATTCCACTACTATATTAACTTAAAAGTGTTGTTTTTATAGATAAAGAATTTCCATTGACCCATAGAATATATAGAAAATACGAAACTTAAAAAAATATTCATCATATTCAAGTGACTCAAGGTGAAAATAAAATATTTTGGGCTTTGGAAGGTTAATATATGTTAACTACTAATACGTGCTATATATATCTATATATATATATAAACATGAAACCATGCATATTAAATTTTTTAAAAAAAAAACTCGCAAGAAGGGCAGGCAAATACCAATTTTTATTTATTTTATTTTTTTTCATAAATAAAACCATACAACTGATAATTAGTGGTTAGACAATTAAAAATTAATTTTGATAATTAGTAGTTAGTAGTTAGCGAGTTAAGAGAAAAAAATTGTATTATTACAATGGACTGAATTACTACTTATATATTCTTATAATAAAGTATTTTCAAATTTAAATATTTAAAATGATTTGAACTCATGATTTTTTTTTTTTTTGCTGAAAGACTTAGGTAATCCAATTACAAAAAAAGAAAACTAAAGAAGGTGGGTTAAATAGTAAAATGTTGTTTCTACATTGTTCAAATGCCTAAATTGACTATTCATCAAGTGTTCATTGGTGGCATTTTTTGTTATTTTTGCCAATGGTTTTTCTATTATTTTTTAATGTTTTCTAGACAGTATTATGCAAATTTAACATCTTTTAGTACCTCATGTTTTCTTAGAACATTTATGATTCCTTGTATTTTCAAAACATATTTGTGGTTTTTGGATGGAAAACAAAGAGAGAGAATGGAGGAAAGAGAAACGATCGATTAGGCTAGATTTTGATCTTTTTTTTTTTTTTTTTTCCAGATCTAGATTGTTTGTATTTGTAATGAGAGTGCATTTGTGATCTTTTCAAGTCATAAAATGGTTAAATAAAGTAGATTGGAGTTCAAAACAAATTTATTTTCTGATTTTTAATGTGCATTGAGATGGTTTTAAACGAGTTTATTGACCTTATTTCTATTGTGTTTGAGGTGTTTTGAAGCAAAAATGATACCGAAAATGAGTTTGGGGTCTCTGAAAACGTAACCTTGATTTTCAAAGAGGATTTCGACGAATTTCAATTCAACGGAAGTTGTAAGTTTTGTTTTTGTTTTTGTTTTTTAGCGCCACCTAGGCTTGCCTCTCAGGGTCGAGGTGGCTCATCTTGAGCTTATCTGCTCCTGAAGCCTAAGCGCACAGGCTTGCTTCTTTAGGCTCGTGGGCAGGGTTTTTTTTTTTTTTTTTTTTTTTTAGCAATTTAGGTTTATTGTTATTATTATTGTTGAATTGGGTGAAAAAATTATGAAAAAACAATCGTCTTTTTACACATACTAATAATTAGGAAGCATATACAATGTTTTTTTTTTCGAACTATATATATTATTTTCACTATTTAAAACTTATCTCTTCAATTTGCATTATGAAAATTCTCATCAAATTATTTTTTTTAGTTTTTATTTTTTTATTTAATTTTTTGTTAATAAATATGATTTATTTTTCTCTATATATGAGATTCTGAATTAGTTTTTTTTTTTTTAAATAAATTATCAATTAAATAATAGAATTCACATGTTTTATTTTCTTATTCTTTGTACGATAAAATTTTATTGAATAAATTTTGTAATTATTTTTATTGTACTTCATTAACTTCAATATATTCCTTATAAATTATTTTTGAAAAAATACTTTGTGATTTATTTTGCATACTCGACCCTCCGAGTATGGTCATAATGTATTAAAAAGTTAAAAATTATTGATTTTATTGAAAATTATCTATGCATATGCACGCATAACACCAATAATTTGTGTTTATTTTTTTCAAATATTCTAAAATTAATTTCGTTAAAATAAATTAATTAAATCATCAATTAAATAATATAATTCACATGTTTTATTTTCTTATTCTTTGTACAATAAAATTTTATCACACTAAAATTTTGTAGTTATTTTTATTGCACTTCATTAACTTCAATATATTCTTTACAAATTATTTTTTAAAATGCTTTGCTATTTATGTCGCGCACTCTAACCCACCGAATATGGTCATAATGTATAAAAAAAATTGAGATCATTGGTTTTATTGAAAATTATTTGTGCAATCTACACACATAGCACCAATAATTTGCATTTAATATTTTTCAAATATTCTAAAATTAATTAAAGTAATATTTTAGAAGTGTCGTCTAATAATTCGGATGCATCTTTTTATACTAATATTATTTATTATTTTATAGATAAATAAATATAAATCAACTATAAATATTTTCAAAAACATAAAAAATTCATTTGTTAATTTTTATACAAGTTTTTATATTGATTGTTGTTTTTTTATTCGATGAGATCTTATGAAAACAAATGTCAAGACCTTTTTTAAAAATTTCATTTTACATTATTATAGGTTTTTATTTAAGAATTAATGAATAACGAAGAACAAATCATGTTTTTTAATAAAAAAATATTAAAGATATTAATAAGAATAAATCAAATATAAAAATTTGATTTAAAAAAATATAAAATTAGACAATTTTGTTTCTTTTAATTCAATATATTTTAATATATTCACGACATAACACATGTTATAAAATTGTAATAATTTTTTAAATTAGTTTTATCAGTTCTATTTGATCGATGGTGTAACACGGATAAGCATCTAGTAGCTCGCTACATTTCATATGGTAATGGTACAATTTAGCATGCAAATAGAAGGTGGCTCGAAAAAATAAAAGCAAAGAAAAAGTTGGGCTTCGAGTGATGAATTAGTGTATCCTGAGCAATTTCTTATGTGGGCCCAATGCTTAGTGCTTCGCAAGAGAAACGACCCACTTCGCTAATGTAGTTATTTTTACAACTCAATTTGGAGTGGCCCCATTGGATATAGAATTGGAAGCCCACTATTAAACCAAAAACAAGAAGCGTAAACAAGAAGGGTTTTACCACCAGTTTTTGATGTCCACATCAGGTGGGACCAGTTTTTGTATAACAGTACTGTTATGGGGAGAATTTTGATTCACCAATTTGGGTCTAGTGGAATTACAAAAATGCACCATGTTTTCCTTGAAAAGGACCCAATATTTCAAAGAAGTCACAGCTAACAGTATTTAAAAACGGGGGCATTTTTGTATAACAGTTTTTGTATGACAGCGGAGGGCCAATTGCAATGTAATAGCTACATTATGCGTGTGATGCAGTCTTCTGTGCTCCTGGCATGGCAGGATTTCTAACTCTGGATGCCATACAAAAACTGTAAACTTTGACTCTTTGAGGATTCCACTGAGATCACCATGGGCTATATAGCTTAAGAACTAATCTGAGGTTTGCCTTCTCTTTTTTTTCTTTTCTCCCTTTGATTGACTTCTGGGTTTCGATTCATTAAACAAATACAAAGTTTAGCGACATTAACTCATAATCAACTGTTTGTTATTAATTATGCAGAAAGCAATTGATGACGAACATCAAGAACAATCTAGCCAAGGCCATCGTTGAAATTATTAACTTAAAGTGCATTGTCGGAAAACAAAAGCAAGCTAGAAATTATCCACCTTACAAAATAGCTAGAATTGATTGAGCTAAAAGGAAGTTTCTTTTATTTTCTAAGAATTTCATTGAGATTTGAGTTGTAACCTGAGGACTAATCAGATGTTTACCCTTCTTTTTTCTTGTTTTTGCTTAATAGTGGGCTTCCAATTCATGTTTTCTTAACGTGATCTCTCTATTTTTCTTTTTATTTATCATATCTTTTTACGCTTGATTTTTTCTTAATATAATCTCTTCAATAATTTTCTGACCAACTTTTAAATTAAAACTGTCATCTAACCAAAAAAAAAAAAAAAAAATGTCACATGTCATACAAATTTGCCATGTGGAAAAAACAAAAAACAAAAAATTTAAAGCTACGTAGATGCCTTTTGGACCTTTCGTTATTCAAGCCATACAATTATATTAAAAATGCAATCTTTATTGAACACTTCAATTCACTCAATCCTGGGCCAAAATTATGGAAACAAAAATTAAGATAATCGTGGAGTACTTGAAAGATTTTGCTTATCCAAACATTAACATTTCTAAGGAAATTAAGTTTCATATTTCTATTGTTAGTTTTTTTTTCCGTTATTTTTTATTTTTTGATTTTCAGTTTAGTCTATCTATTGATATTTGAATATATTAATTTTTATATCAGTATATCTATTGACGTATCGTGTCTTATGTCACTATTTATTATTGTTTCGAAAACGGATCATTGCTATTTTAAAATTATGAAAAGAAACAAAAAATATACATGCCAAAGATTTTAAACAGACCCTCAGCTCTAAACTTCCCGAGAGATGACGGCTTTATCTGTCATCACAAGTAGGAACTTTTTGTTCTTTTGCTTGTAATAAAATTATATTCTATTTTCAATTCCAATTCCAATTTAGTGGTCTCATCCACGCACACATACCAGGTTGGAATTTGGTTATTATCAGTCTTACAATTTCCGTATGTCCACGTTAGGTTGGAAAAAAATGAACATGAAGTCCTTTTCCTATTTCCTTCTTTCGTTACCTGTGATAGGTTAAATATCCCAGCACTTACCATACCTTAAGCCACTCTTCAATAGCTTAATATCAGGAGAAAGAAGAATTTGAAGAATATGGTAAATGAGCAGGCAAGTAGCGGTGGTGTCACAAGAGAAAGGTGAATATATATATATATATATATATATATACACATCTTGCTTAAAAATCTGTCTATGAAATGATGGAGTACTATAATTAAATTAATTAATGCTAACAATCTTTGTTTTGTTCATAATCTAAAGTAATCCCATATATGTTTATGTTTTGGTTATATATGCAAGGGAACAATTGCGGCTCATGAAGAGTTTCATCACTGCGATGCATGCTGCCATCTGCTTTCTCATTTTTGTGTTGCTAGCTCTCCTCCAAATCAAATATCAAAACAAAGGAACGTCCCCTTTTGAGGCACACGGTACCATTATATTGCTTTTCATTGTGTCCTCCTTTGTCTACTCGATGGCTTTGCTTGCTTTCATAGCTCTACTACTACGAGCCCACCAGCAGCAGTTGGAAACACTTTGTTTCGTCACAGTTCTTAAGCACATTTCTCTCGTTTCTGGAGCTCTTACTTGCGATTTACTCCTCTTGATACTCTGCCCTGCCTTTGGATACTTTGTGTTGATCTTTTGTGGAGCTGTCATACTTGTGAGGGCACTCCTTGGATCCTACCAGCAAATTCTTGGTCGGTTGCTAGAAGTTGCAGCCATCGCAGCAATAGCAAGAGACCTGATCATGCATTTTTTCCATGGATCAAGTCTGCAGGAGGCTCATAATCAGGCATATAGCATGGTATGTGTTTGATTCTCTCTAATTTTTCTTTCTACTACTACAAATTATATAGCACTAAGAGGCTACAAATCATTAAGTAAACTAATCTTTATCATGTACTTAACGTACGTATTTGTTCCTACCATATTTAATTAAGCTGATTAATTAGTTTTTTACACTGTGCTTTTTTTCTATAATATTTCAGATTTCTCAATCAATTACCAATGTTTTTACAAATCACAACTCGACTGATCAAGGTGGTGGGGATCACACTACAATTCAAATTGTTAGTGTGTAAATTGATTTCATGAATTGCATAAGTAATATCAATCGATTTAACTCGCGTTGAAAACAGTACTGCTTTAATTTAAAATAAGTTGGCTTTTTATATACGGTTTCTTAATTGTAACTAATTAGTGTGATTATTTGTAAGTGATCCATCTTTGTTATTTCATCATATGTTTGCAAGAATGTTATTAAATATGACATCATATTAGAATGACTTGATAAACTTTTGGATCGAATCGTTTTTGAAGTTTATTCTATTTAAAAATCAATTTCTAAATTTCTAATTTCGAGTCTAACCTCTTCGAATTTTATATTTTGATTTTTTACAAATATCTAAAAGAAAAAAAATAGTTGGTTTTATATGTATAGATGCATAATTATTTTTTAATAAAATTGATGATTTTTTTTTTTTTTAACATCATGACTATACTCAATAAGTTCGACCATGAGAAGAGAGAGAGTATGTGTGTATAAGAATACATTAAATAAATTTGAAATTAATAAAATGAAATAAAACCTACTATAAAATTGATTTCATAAATTGTGATGATATAAAAAAGCAAATAACATATGTTAAATATATTTTTTTATTGATTATTTTAAAAATGTATTTTTCTTTGTAATTTAAGACAAAGTATCTTAAATATATTTCTAACTTTTAGATTATACACGTGTGTGTGCACGTTGCTCTCATTTAAAAATTATAAAAATTCATCATATACATTATATTAATATATTTTAAAAAATAAAAAAATAATCACATTCTAAAATTTTATTCAAAAATTCATATATAAAGAAAAATAAATCATATTTTCTTAACCAATAAAGTTATATAAAAAAATAAATTATTAAATTAATTTGATGTTTTCATAAAAAAAGACAAATTGAAGAAATCATATTTTTTCATTGCCTAGTTGCATGAAATTTTTTTAAAAATGAGGATTTTTTTTCATAAATTTAGCACAAAATCAATAAAAAAAAAAAACAGTTAAAAAATTTTGCTGAAAAAAAAAAACCACGCCAGGCTTACGCTTTGGGCTTGCAGAAACAGGTCCAATTGATCTGGCCTGGCCACATATAAAAGGCAAAAAGAGAGAAATCCAATGGACGATGCATCGACCACTATAATTTCTGACGAAACTTGAATTTGTCAAACAGTTCGCAAGAAAAACAGTTTTTTAATTTTTAGACACCAAAACCTAATCTATGCATTGTTTTTTCTCTAAAACACTGAAATGAGGTTATATATATATATAAAATCTTAAAACTAATTCTAACGCACATAAAAAAAAAATTAAATTCAAAAACTCATATTGTTTTAATTTTCAAGTTATTTTATTTTAGTCTCTCAAAATTTAAAATAAATATTTTAATCCCTTAACTCATGCACTACACATGCTTTGTTTTTTTATTAATTATTTTTATTATTTAAAATTTACTATTTTAATTTGTTTTTTTTAAATTCTCATTCAATTTTTTTAAAATTTATTATTTATATTTATTGATAGTTTTAATTGATTTTTCTATATGTATGAATTTTGAAATAAATTTTTAGAACTTGATTATTTTTTCTTTTAAAAAATAAATTTAGATAACTTCTAAATGATTTTATATATTTTATTCAACCCGCAGCGTAGCATGAGCAAAAAAACTAATTATTTTCTATTTTAAAATCACCATAAACAAATTCTACTCTTTAAGAAAAACAAATTTAATGACACATTGCATGTCAAAATGACTAAAATAAGCCTAACCGGCGGCTTTTTCTCTTACCTCTCTCTGCTTCTCTCTCCTTTAGGATCAAAACAAAAGATTTGAAAACACTGTTAAAAATACAGAATTGAGATAGATATTTGGTGATGTGTAACGAGTAGGGCATGCTTGGATTCCACAATCCATCAGTGTTAAAATAAAGAATGGAGATAGGCTTTCCCTTTCCCGACCAGTGAATGATTTGAAATTAATCTACAGAACAGAAAACATTGTTTCAAAAATGTAGCAAAAAGGAAAAACACAAGTTACCTCAATAGTCATCCCTTACCTCCAAGATCAATTACACATTCATGGACCATTTTAGGGATTCTTCCTGTTTGATTGTAATTCAAACAAGCCGCCTTCCTCTTTCATCAACCATCTAGGAATTCTACAGAATACCATATCTGTGTTCTCAAATTGGCTATTCATTTTGTTGATGTCAGTTTATTTTTTGGAGCCAATTGTTTCTGGGGAAGCGCTCTCCACCCAATATCTCGCCGGTAGAACCCTCCTGGCCAGTTGACTTCCTCAACTGCTTGATAAGCTCGGTCCCGTGCCTCTTCAAGATCTCTTCCAGTGGCAGTGACCCCAAGAACTCGTCCCCCAGTAGCAATCAAGTTGCCATCCGAGTCCAAAGCTGTTCCAGCATGGAATATCTTAACTGTTGGAGCAACATTCTCAGCCTCCTCTAGGTTTCGAATCACAGTCCCCTTTTCGTAGGACCCAGGGTACCCCTTGCTTGCCATAACAACCACCATGGCAGACCCTGGAGACCATTTCAGGGATACTCCACTTAGCTCTCCTCTACTAGCTGCAAGTAGAACTTGTGCTAGATCTGATTCCAACCGAACCATCAAAACCTGCATATTCAAGCAAAAGAATCTCCCATTAATTTTATGCCACAACTATTGATTACCAACTTCCTGTAACTTTTGAGGAATAATCACGACAACCAAAATCTGAGGGTCAATTTATAATGTGTTCTCATGCACAAGCACATGCAAGTAAAAGATAATCAGCGCAACCTCCCCACTCATCATAGCCGATAGATAAACCAACTGGATATTGCTTTAGTTTATCCAAACAGTCATAATTTGGAGTGAAGAAACCATAAGAATTCTGAATTATATCATCCTGTTTATTAATAATTTGGAAAAAGTCTTCAACTTGACCCAACAATGAAACAAACCTGTTAGGGAAAAAACTTAAAACCACCTCTTCTAATGGGATGCCTAAACATCTAACAGTTTATACCATCAGTCACTGTTAAAAGAATAATAAGATAAAACTGACAGAGTAATATTCCCCATCAAGATGCGGTTATCAATACATGCAGCAGTGACAATCAGATATGTAACAGCAGCTTTGCACAGAATTGTGATTACCAGAACAGCAAGCTTCGACAGAATTTACATTATAGTCAGTATCATGCATCTCAAACCGGACATCAGAACAAAATGATAGAAGGTTTTCACCTGGGAGTGTCTAACTACCGACAAGCTGTATATGACCAAACTCTACACCTTGACCCTTGAGCCTAGAGGAGAACGAATATGTTGCCAAACCAACAGTTGAAACAACCATTTTTCCTAATCATTAATAACATAAAAGTGGTGTAGGGCAGGATCTCAATCAAGATATTGCTTCTCTGTGGGTATTGCACTTTAATCATGCAGCAAATGTTGCATGGGACCCCAACACTAATTCCAAAGGCACAAGAATAACAACAAAATGAGACAAGAATATGGGGAGAGAAACCAAAAGAAAGCTGTTACATACCCAGGAAAACAAGGACAAGCCTTCTGGGTGTTCCCTTTCACCATTTACTCCTATATATATATATATATATATATATATCCTAAGCCCACTGTAAACTACCAAAACAATGATAACCCAATATATACAGAGATCTAGTGAAATCATGCAGCCAACTCATCCAACAAACAGAAATCAGCATTGCTAAATATTTTTGAAGGCTTATTAGGGTCTGTATCTGACCTGACACTCAGGATCGCCAAAGCGTACATTGTACTCAATTAGCTTAGGTAAGCCAGAGTTCTTCTCAATCATCAACCCAGCATACAAAACCCCTACAAACTTGCAACCCTCTGCTGCCATTCCCTTCACTGTTGGGAGAATTATAGTTTCCATGACCACTGACTGAAGTTCTTTTGTCAATACTGGTGCTGGAGAGTATGCTCCCATCCCGCCAGTATTGGGGCCTGTATCTCCATCACCAACTCTCTTATGGTCCTGAGCAGATTCTAGAGGAATAGCATTCTCTCCATCCACCAGGGCAAAGAAAGATGCTTCTTCTCCTTCCAGAAATTCTTCAACAATGACACGACAACCTGCAGAACCAAAAACACTCCTCACAAGCATTGAATCAACAGCTTCGTATGCCTCCTCCAGTGTCATGGCAACAATAACTCCCTTTCCAGCAGCCAAGCCATCTGCTTTTATGACAATAGGTGCTCCCTGGTCCTGAATGTATTGCTTTGCAGCAGATGGATCTGTGAATGTTTGGTACTGCAACAATAAAAAAAAGTTTAATAACAGGGTTTACAGCAACAAAGAACTGGGAAAGCAAAGACAGTTACATGAAAATTTTAGTTAGGCAAAAATGAGAGGATGCCAGGCACACTGTCTTGTTTCATTTTTTTTTCTTTGCATTTTCCAAGAAAGAAATGGCAATTGGAAAAGTTTAGCACAAGCAAGAAGGTATTTTGTCTGCCTGGTAACTAAAACGAAAAGGGTAAAAAGAATAAACCTTAGCAGTAGGAATTTCATATTTGTCACACAAATTTTTCATGAAGTTCTTTGAACCTTCTAAAGCAGCAGCTTCTGCCGATGGCCCAAAAGTAGGTATTCCAGCTTTTACTAAATCATTTGCAAGGCCAGAAACCAAAGGTGCCTCTGGTCCCACCACAACCAGTCCCACACCCCATTTGCGGCAAAAGGAGATCACAGCTGAGCTATCAGAGATGTCAAGCTCTGGAATACAAGTGGCATTTCCAGAGTTAGAAATCCCTGCATTGCCAGGAGCACAAAAGACTGCATCACAGGAGGGAGATCGCTGCAAGGCATAGCAGAGTGCATGTTCTCTTCCCCCTCCACCAATAACCAACACAACCACCCTCTCATCTGCAAAATTAGTAGGTGAGGGAGGATCAATGAATAAGAAAAAAGTAACTAATTTAACCCAATTCTTTGCGTCTCCAATCTCAATAAAAAAAAATTGTCACAAAATATCCT